CTGGAGAATGGCTCAGCAGTTAAGAGCACAGGCTACTCTTCTAGATGACGAGGGTTCAATTCCCAGCATCCACATGGCAGTTCACAATTGCCTGTAACTCCATTTCCAGGAAATCTGGCATCCTCACACAGACATGCATGCAGGCAAAACACCAATGCACATAAAATAAACATAAACAAATTATTTTTTAAAAGGTAATATGATAATATAAAATCAGAAGAGCTATAATCATCATAAGAAATGGATAAGATATCCAAGACAATGGAACACCAATATTCTCATTTATCAGTTATATGTATTAAAAGTTAATCTTTATTCACCTAAGGCAAAAACACATTATACTCTAAATAAAGGTTCTTTGAATTTTATATTCATTGCTTTGAATTATGTGTATTTGTGTGTGGCCATAAGTGCAGTGCCTGCATAGACCAGAGACGTCAGATCCTCATGGAGCTTGAGTTTCTGGTGACTGTGAACCATCTAATGTGGGTGCTAGGAAGTGAACTCAAATCCTCCAGAAGATTTTAAGTGCTCTTAAACACTGAACCATCTCTCTAGCCCAGAAATTATCCTATTTTTTTTTGTTTGTTTGTGTATTTGTTTATTTAATATATATGAGTGTTTGCCTCTCTGTTATGTCTGGGCATCCTCTGAATGTGCAGTGCCTACAGAGGCAAGAAGAGGGCACTGGATCCCCAGAGACTGAAGTCACAAACGGTTGTGAGCCTCCACGTGGGTTCTGGGGATCAAACACAGGTCCTAGAAGAAGAGCCAGTGCTCTTGTCTGCTGAGCTGCTGTCCAGGCCCCAATTTTCTCCACACTGTTTGTTGCCATGACTTCCCCAGGATGGACTGTGCCTTGCAGGTCTAAGCCAAAACAAACCCTTCTTTCTTTAAGTTGCCTTTGTGAGGGATTTTGGCACAACAATAAGACAAGTAAATAGACAGCTTCCATACTTTGCGAGAATAGTAATTATCTAAAATATGCTTTTGTGCAAGGTCACAGTTATCTCTACCCTGTATTGGTCCTTTTCCCTTCGTATCTGCTGCTTTTCTTTTAAGTTGCCACATGATAACAGAGACAGGAAAAGTAGGACTACGGATTCACTTACCCTTGGATCACTGAGGGGAAGCATACTTCACAGCCTTCGAAAGAACAACAACCAAAGATTCACATTTCAACTGTGTTCCAGGGTATCTTACCATCCAGTTCTGTGGAGCAGTACATTAATACAAAGTGCTATTATGTGAAAGTTCTGTCTGTATTACCACTCACAAACTTAGCTCTTACCTAGCTCTCTCCAGAGTAGATGGTTTTATATGGCATAATGATGGGAAAGAGTTGACAGGTTTGCCTTCCTAAGTATCCTCAATGGTGTCCAGAAGGGGAGGACATCCAGGCTCAAGAGCCATATTATTCTCTGCTTGATGAGGAAACAAAGTGGTATGAAACTGCTTGAGTTCCAGTTCTGTTATTTGAACTTCGTGACTTTATCTATGAAAAAATGTAGGTAGTTAGTGGGTGGAGAGATGGCTCAGTGGTTAAGAGCACTCGGTGCTCTTCCAGAAGACCCAGGTTCAATTCCCAGCACACATGTGGAAGCTTATGTAGCTCATCTGTAACTTTAGTTCCAGGGGGTCTGATATCCTCACACAGATGTGCATGTAAGCAAAACACCAGTGTACATAAAAAGAAATTTTAAAAAAAGAAGTATCAACATTCAAATATGCAATATTTCATACTTCTAAAGACATAAAGAGTGACCCTCAAAATATTTTAGACACAAGAACTGGCATGTTTTAACAAAACTGCTTAAGCTTTAGAATAAGGGCATTCAATTTCTGTCTTGTTAGCCTGAATTAAAAGCATTGCTTTTTTCCATACTGGTCTCTGTTTACACATGAGTGTTTACACATGGGTGACAACAAGTTAATAATCCCACTGAAACTCCACCATTGTGGTGGAGCTAGCCAGTTGATTTCTACTTGCTTGCCCAAGTCTGCTTAGCTCTCATAATAAGCCTGAGACTAAGGGACCAGAACATTACACAGGGGCCCGGAGTAAAATGTTAAAGATATAAGTCAAGCAGATTTTGTAAATTGCTTCTAGAGCATTTGGACACCAGCCAACATATGTCAATATGTGTGGATATGTGTACCTGCGTTTTTGATAACATTTTAATGACTCCCATTGAAATTGCAGGATCAAAGCTACAGTCAGTTACTTCTGCTTTCCTGTCCAGTGATATTCCCTTTGCCAGGCTTACATTAAGCCTGAGGCTGAGGATTCCAATATAAGACAGGAACACAGTGAAAGGGCCCTGAAGATGTAACTCCCTGAGTTTGCTGTCAAGGGAAACAAAGTAAGGACACTGAGATATCCAATCATGCCAAGGGCTTTACCTTCAGAAACACATCTTTCAAAGACTAATGTTAGCAGTAGCTGTACACTGGACCTAATATAATATCATTTTATCTGAAGTTTTAAGGTAAAGGAAATAGATAAAGATATTTAGTTGCTGGCCAGGATTATATGCATATTGAAACAGAGATGTTGTCATTGCTTGCATTTAACTAATTTAACTTTAAATATTTTCCAGGGATATTAACTGTTTCAGACCAAAGACAGTCGTCTTATGGACAAACAGCAAAGGTAGGTGTCAAGTACTGGAAGGGGACTTTGTGTTAAGAAGAATTCAGAGGTTAGCCTGCGTCTGAGACAAGTCACTAGGCAAGTATTGAAAGCTTTTTGATTGTGTAGTGTATGGTTGCTACATGTTAAAATCAACGCAAAAAGTTTTCTGATAAATGTGGTCCTTCAGATTTTTTCAAATGACCTTGTAACACAAAATGTAAAGATTAATATGTTGAATTGGAGGAAAGGGAGAACAATGTGTCTCCATTCTGTTCCTGTCTCCTCCTGCTTCTACAACCCTCCTTTCACTAAATGTATACACCGTAGGCAGTATGCTTAGATCAATCATTCATGGAGGTGGCAATGTCTGAGAACTGAGGGATTCAATAATGAGACACTTATTGATGGTATAATGGGGCAAGGAATGATGTCACTAACAAAAGTCTCCTTTCACTCCATACTCCCCCACCAGTCTGCTGCGCTGCATTTCCCTGTGTCCTCTGTGTGGCTGTCTCATTTCACCAGCTACGGGTATTATTTCTCTGCCTCGGTTACTGGAATTCACCCACACAGTGATGCGGTTTTTGTCTCCACTGTTAGTTTAAAGCTTCCTATAACATCCCCAAATAGAGCCCTGCTGTGTTTCCATAACACTGGGACATCATTGGTTGGTCCCCATGGCTGTTGATGCACTTAATATTTGTATTTCCATCAGACTGAACATTACTCCAGAATAAGACCTCGGCTGCACTTGTGTGCAATATAACTAGCATAAGTCCAGTCCCAACTGTCCTGAAAGGACCAAAAAACATGTGTGAAAAAAAGACTGAAGGACACATGGATTAAGTGTATACTTTTGAAATTCCTAACAAACTCGGTGTCAGGAATACAATCCAAACTAATTTGGGGGAGTCTGGCTCTATTCTTTGAATGTAAGTTTTGGCTGCAGCCTTGGAGTGCTACAGATGTGTGAGAAAGTGGAGTGGTCTATGATGTATCCAAGTTTATCTGGAAACTTTGTGACTTTTCAATGAAATAGCCAGTCAGAAAATGTTTTTCTAGTATCTTTACACTAAAATTGAGATGAAGAAGTAGCTCCAACTTCCTGAGTGCTTAAAGAGTGATTGTTGCAATAAATAGAACGGCTTTGGAGCTAGATGTAACTACATCTAAAGCTGAGTCCCGACGCACAACTGGTGCAGTGTTGTGGTCTCTGCATCTCTTCTTCGTCTACTGGCACTCAGTAAATTCTGCCTCTTCAAGAATGTGCAGAACCATTCTCCAGACAACTTAGGCCTGAGATTAATAACCCTCACGGTCATCATGAGTCCCAAACTGCTTTTTCCCAAAACCTGCCAATGGATCTGCTGATGATGCCAACCAGAGAGAAAAAGCAGAAACAGAGGACGGGGAGTGGGTTTCTAGTTGATTGCTATGCTTTTGACAGAGGCTAAAATTGGGAACCTGTGTTCAGACCCAGGAAGCTTCATCCTTTTTTTAGTCCTGTAGCATCTCACATGAATTTCCTCCCTCTACCTCCCCACGTACACATGCATACAAACACACCAAACACACACACACACACACCACAAACATGCATACACACATACAGTTTCCTCCTCTTCCCTGATTTTTCAAACTAATACTGTTGACAGCTTATAGTTCACAATCAGAATCCCATAATTCCTTTAGTTAGTGACAGAATAAGAAAGAGGTGAAACTATTGCTCCAGTTCCTCACCACAGAGGGCTCAGCACTGCCTGTCACTAAGCACATAAACCCTGCCTTTAGTAAAAACCAATGATCTTTCAGAAGAATTCCAGAATCTCCATATGTTGGTACCCAAGACTCTCCCTGTACAATGTAGAATAAAACTAATAATAATAATAATAATGATAACAGATTGGGAAAGTTAACTTGAAAGTGATCCTTCCACTTTTTCTGAGGAAAGCCAGAATCTTTGATCCTCAAGTAGCATAACTGATAAAGAGAATTACAAAGTTTTCATTAAAGCAAACTGAGGAGAAAAAAAGGTTTACTTAGACTGTTGGAAGTTTGATATCAAAAGCATTAAAATGAACATTGGTAAAATTTTTTCTGTTATAAATATCTAAGTGTCACTACTTAATGTATTTTTTCTCTCAATACTTAATGTATTGTTACTGTCAATGGAAAAAAATATTGAATGATTTTCTATGTGGTAATTTGATTATCAAATTAACTGCAATATTTAGAATGTGAACAACAATCTATTTCAGGTGCAATATTTGTAAAGAGGAGCTTCTGAATTGTATCCTAGGAGTTTGGGAAGACAAGGTAAACAACCCAAGGCTTGAAAAAAGCAGCCCAGAGAGGCAGTGATTTAATGGAGATGGAAAACTACACCAGAGTCAAAGAACTTATCTTCCTTGGCCTGACCCAGAATCAAGAAGTGAGCGTGGTGCTGTTTCTTTTCCTTCTCCTGGTGTATGTGACAACTCTGCTGGGGAACCTTCTCATCATGGTCACCGTGACCTGTGAGTCTCGCCTT